AATGCCAGTTTCATTTGCAGTCGGTAAAGTACTTGGGGTTCATTTTCGATGCCGATGGCCGCAGGCCGGATCCTGAGAATATCCGAGCTATCAAACTGATGCCAACTCCTACTAATGTCTCATCACTACGTTCCTTCCTGGAACTTGTCAGCTATTACTCAGCGTTCGTTCCATCGATGCATGATATTCGCGCTCCACTCAATAGCTTACTGCAGAAGAACAGCTCTTGGAACTGGACTAAACAATGTGACGCTGCCTTTTGTAAACTGAAGTCCATTATTAGTTCGGAATTGCTGTTGACACACTACGATCCAGCCTTGCCGATCATCGTAGCTGCAGACGCTTCAGCGCATGGCTTAGGCGCTGTTATCTCCCATCAGTTTCCGGATTCGTCGGAAAAAGCCATTATGCATGCAGCCCGTACACTAACCCCAGCAGAAAGGAAGTACAGTCAAATAGAAAAAGAGGCTCTGGCTCTTGTGTTTGCAGTACGCCAATTCCACAAATTCTTGTACGGTCGAAGATTTACTCTTCTCACTGATCACAAGCCTCTTCTCACAATTTTCGGTTCGAAATCTGGTGTTCCAGCCCATTCTGCAAACCGTCTCCAACGATGGGCTTTGATACTTCTGGGTTATGATTTTGACATTCAGTATCGGCGCACTCAACAGTTTGGTCAGGCTGACGCCTTGTCGCGACTTATCAGCGAACACCATACGGCCGGCGAAGATACAGTTATCGCCTCCCTGATGACAGAGGACTACGCGCAGTGCTACCTGACAACTGCTATTAGTGCTTTGCCAGTCTCAGCACCTGAAATACAATCTGCATCCAAGAACGACTCCATCATAAAGAGAGCGACGAAATACGTCACAAATGGCTGGCCGCCGACTGGACTCGATGGTGACTTGAAACAGCTTTACCATCGTCGGGACTCATTATGCGTCGTAAACGAATGCTTGATGTTTGGAGATAGAGTAGTGGTACCAGAATCCCTAAGATCAAAGGTGCTAAAGCAATTCCACACTGGTCATCCTGGTATAAAACGAATGAAATCCATCGCCAGAAGCTATGCTTATTGGCCCCTTATGGACCAACATATCGTGGATTTAGTAAGCAAGTGCACACAATGTCAGCAAGCAGCTAAGTGTAACGCGAAAATACTACCAGTCCCATGGCCACAGCCTGAGTATCCCTGGTCCAGGATACATGTCGATTTCGCAGGCCCAATTAACGGAATCACCTATCTAGTTGTTGTCGACGCCTTTTCGAAATGGCCTGAAATCAACCCTATCATACCGCCAACGACAACTAAAACAATACAGATCCTCACAGAAATTTTCTCTCGAAATGGTATACCAGATGCTATTGTGTCTGACAACGGGTCACAGTTCACCTCCAGCCAATTTCAGTCATTCTGTCAACGACTAGCCATAAAGCACTTACGCTCGCCACCATACCACCCGCAGTCGAATGGGCAAGCAGAAAGGTTTGTGGATACGTTTAAGAGAGCCTTGGCTAAAACAAAGGGGGAGGAGACGCCAGCAGACGCGTTGCAAAATTTCTTATACGTGTATCGAACAACACCAAATGAAACGTTGCCGGAGCGAAAGTCCCCAGCCGAGATCCTAATGGGAAGAAGACTCAAGACAATCCACAGCCTGATGCATCCAAGGAATGCACCGACACCAGTACGGACAAAGTTTGAAAAGCAATCCACGTACGAAGTGGGATGTCCGGTGTTTGCCCGTGATTACAGACCGACCCATAGTCCATGGACAGAAGCGCGAGTGGTCAAAAGAGTTGGCCGAGTCATGTACGAAGTTGAGGTAGGTAGTGACAGGTGGCAACGCCATCGGAATCAGTTACGCAAACGGTTAGCCCCAGACCGCCCATCAACAGAATCAAATATTCCTCTTGACATTCTGCTAGACACATTCAACTTACCGGCAACCCCACCACAAGAAAAACCTCAACAACAAACTGAAACACGTCCAAGACGGTGGCCTATCCGAGAACGGCGAGCAACAATCAGGATGCAGGTTGACCCCAGGAAAGCCCGCTATTAAAAAGGGGAGGAGTGTTGGGGACGATAGATCCCCAAACTCATATTTTAAAATTTATCTTATCGATCATCTTATTGATTAAATGTTAGATATTTTTATTGGGGTCAATTGGTGAACTAATCGATTAAATGTTTGAATAGCAGTCAATTGATGAACTATCGATTACATGCGCAAATAGGTCAATTAATAAACTCATTGATTAATGTTTAAAAATTTTCTATCGATTGTAAATAATTGTATAAATACGCTTGACTTGTATGCTTGATCTGATCTGCCTGCCTGACTTGTTATCTGCTGTTTGTCTGTAGAATACACTTTCTACACCTTACCCAGACTTCTTGATCGAGTTAGCAGAGTTGGGGACAACGGACCAGAATAGTGTATCGAGTCGCTGAATCATTGATCCTTCGTTCGTTCGAGTAAGACGCATCAGTAATCGCATTCGAGCAATAACGAAACATAACAGACTAGCCGCTTGTATGCAGTACTCGAGTTTAGGACGAACGAACACTGTATACAAAGTCAAAAACGTTTTAGCGTCGACATGACAAAAAGCTCTACGTATTGACCATAAGGTTCTAAAACTTTTGGCGGCTATTGCACGGCAGTGCGCAGTAGTCTTTAAGTCTTGACTTACGATAACTCCTAAGTCATTATATGTCTGGACGACAGGTAGCTCAGAGTTATTCGTCGTGTATGCATCTGTACCTTGATGAACGTTATGGATCACAACACACTTGGAAGTATTTATCGGCAACAGCCATGTTTGAGACCATTCAGATAATTTCTTCAGATCATTTTGAAGTTCTAAGCTATCACTCTTACATCCTATCGTTCTCCATATCTTGACATCGTCGGCATATAGCAAGACCGAGACAAGGAAGGTCATTTACACACAAGAGGAATAGCACTGGCCCCAAAACTGTACCCTGGGGCACTCCACTAAGCAGTTTCCCAGCTAGATAACTTTGAGTTCACCCTTACTCTATGTTGACGCCCAACTAAGAAGTCTTTTATCCACATCAATAAACTGCCTCCAATCCCGAATTTTCTTAACTTATATAACAGCCGGTTGTGCGGAACTTTGTCAAATGCTTTACTGAAATCAATAAAAGCGACGTCTACAGGTAGCTTTTGGTCATTAAGAGCGCACCAGCTTTCACGAGCCACTAATAAGTTAGTGAGACAAGAATAACCTATTCTGAAGCCATGCTGCATCTCCGAGAGTATCCGGTTTTTATCGAGATACTTAAACAGCTCCTTCCGAATAATCTTTTCTAAGATTTTAACAACCACACTAGTTAGGCTAACAGGGCGGTAGTTCTCAGGTTTGTGTTTCGTACCTGTTTTGAAGACAGGACTTACTATGGCGTTTTTCCTGTCTTTCGGTAAACGACCCTGCGTAACGGATAGTTTAAAACATGTACTTAAAGGGCTTCCAACGAAGTTAGATAATTCCTTCAGTAGCCTATGATGTAATTCATCAGGCCCCGTGGATTTACCTATGTCAAGCTTATTTAGCAGACCAAAGACATCGAGTTCTTTAATGGTCACGCTATCCAGTGTATGTATGGGGGGATCTGTGTACACTGACGGGAAGGGCGCTTCTATGGTATATACGTTGCTAAGGTAGTTCGAAAACACTTGAGCCTTACGAAAGTCGTCCTCCACTAATGATGAAGCAGTACTGTCTCCCCATAGAGCAGGAATATTTCCTTTTCTCCTTGTCCTTTGGTTTATATAGGAATACAAGCGTTTAGGACATTCTATGGATTCCTTAACAAGTTTTTCTTCGTACAGTTTTCTAGACTTACGGAGGGTCGAGGCACAAGTGTTCCGAGCCTTTCGATACTGAGATTTTGACTCATCAGTCCTCAGTAACCTAAATCTATCCCACATTTTCCTTTTCTCACAGAGAAGGATACGGACCCCCCTACTGAACCATGGTGGTGAGTGTTTTTGCCCCTTTGGTATAGTTCAAGGGATATGTGGTGTGGTAACTTTTAAGTATGAATTTCGAAATGCGTCCCAGGCCGTTTCAATGGAGGACTCTGGGTCTATTGTCCAATCTATTAACGATGCTGAGTGCATGATGTCTGGTATGTTTGCCTTCCAGACGTTGGGTCTGGACTGGACTGACGCGTCCTCGTGACTGGCAGTTATATGGAAGTCGAAAGTTAAAACTGCGTGGCCACTTTTACCTAGGGGTGGCATATGGTGGAGGTTCGCAGCATCATCCTCATAGTGAGTCAGTATAAGATCTAATATAGATGATTCAGTGTCCGGATCGTACCTTGTCGCTTCTTTCACGTGTTGCACTGGAGCACATGTGATAACCCCATCAACTAGTTCCTGCTCGAAAGAATTCTCCGACGATTTAGTTCGCAAATTTTCCCAGTCTACCTTAGGTGCATTAAAGTCCCCTAGGACTGCGATAGACCAAACCAATCAGCAGCTCTTGTCCCTTGCATTTTAAGCGAAGACTAACTAATTCACACGTCCCACTCTCATGGGATACACTATCGATAATGGCAAATGGGATAGCATTCCTAATTAATAAAGCTACTCCCCCTCCTTTGTGCTTTTGTGTTCTGTCGGCCCTTACTAACGTAAAGCCCTCGAAATCAAGTTCCGTACTATCTATAGCCTGTGTCAGCCAGGTTTCTATTACTGCGATTATGTCTGGCTTTGTAGAGTCAATCTGTACACCTAGTTCCGATCGCTTATTCAGTAAGCTTCGTGCATTGGTGTAACAGATCCGAAGCCTGTTTAAGTGCCTTCGTGCTTCACCCAGAGTGGCTTCGGCATCATTCTCTGTCGAAATCTCTTTATATTGTTATTAAAGCTTTCTGATCACACAGACACATAGTACTGAGGTAAATAATTGGTTGACTATCCGAACCAGAGTTAAGACTCGATGGATTACATGTTCAACAGGTCCGCAAATTTGTAGACGACGCTGAGACAAAATAAAACGTTACAACGTACCGAGACGTTGTGCAGCTTTAACTCCATTTTATTCTGCCTCTAGTACTCACTCTTCCTGGAATTTCGTAAGCTCCACAAATTGTCTTTCTTTAAAGAAACTCTTCTAACAGAGGAACTGTCTCAATTGGCCATCTCTTATCTGCTATTCCATTCCCACTCTTTCTTAAAGCGAACCGATTAACGGTAAGAGAAACTATAAAATGAGCATGGCAGTGTAAATCATGGGTCTATTTCACTTAGCAAACTGTCTAGTGTTGGCTACTGGTCCTCATTTGCTGGTATACAAGTCCAGTGGGATGTAGGTTAAATTTCATTCATTATGGCACCTTTTAGACCAGAAAATGATGCTTTTTGGCCCTGTTGCAAAATCGCATGCGTGTACGCGCTTACACAAATTTTGAAGTTTTTTCTGGTCACCTTAGCTCCTCATACCTATTTACCTAAGGGAGATTCTATGACATTTGTATGCTTGTTTATTTCAGTAATCGTTTCAGGATGTTTTTGGTATAGTATTGGAGATAATAGTAATCACCATGATTGTACGTGGATCACTTTGTAGAAGTGAGTTCAATGTAGTAGCATCCAGTGTAGGCTGGTCGATCGCTTCATTAGTAGCCACAAGGTGAGCTTTCAAACCCTTAATTAATGCCATCAGATATGTCCCGATTTGGGTTGGCACGCGTGGACTAGAATTCGACTGGAAATATTTGTGTTTGAGTTACGAAGCAAACTTAGATTTGGTAAGAATGCATATAATCCTATTCGATTCTTTTAGGTTGATACATTTGTGATGTTTTATTCTGTTTGGTTACTGTCACGTCGCTCAGGCCCTACTTGGAGCACTCTATTGGGCCTTCTCACCGTTATGGCGGGACCAGCTAAAAGTATACTCTATGCGTAAGTTCACTCTTAAACTTAATGTACATCTTTGCAGTCACATGTTTTGAAATCTTGTTTGTATGTAGAATATAGTGACTAACTAGTTGGTTCTTTGGCCGTTACTTATTGTGCCAAGAATAATATGAACTGGAATGCCGCTTGCTAGATATCAAACATAACAGTCGATTAGCTTTTTGTCCGACAAGTGGTTCACTTCCCATTATTTGTACATCAGTTTACTTCTTATTCAGATAGTTAAATGGCGTGAGCTGCAATCATATAATCCTCAACTGTCGTCAAATTAGAATCACAGCTTTATGCACTGCTGTATGTGTAAAAGGAAGTAGAATAGTTTGGTAGATGAAGTTAAACCTAGTAGTGTTGTATAGCAAGGCCAACACCATGCCTATCAAATTTTATTGTCTCAAGTGAAACATGTTTAATTTGTCAGTGCCTCTAAAGGTGGCATTTATCACAAAGACCAAGTCGACATGCATTTGCCCAAGTTCCACTAGTCTAGTTTCTGGTTAGTTAAATCTTGAATGCACATCAGCTACGTATTTCTTTCGTATTTCGTGATAAGTGGGTACGAAATATTCCGAGTCTTCTCTTTTCACATATAGAGACCTAATATCATAACAGTTTATCCTTCAGTTTGACAAATATATCGAATACATTCTACTTCTCACGAAAGATCTGCAGTAAATTTCCGTCCCATAGAAGTATCAATAAGCTAATATACTTAGTTATATAAATTTGAAGACAAGCTATGAAGGAAGATATATGGTAGCAATGGACAACTGCAAACTAGTAAATCAAGAGTATACTACCAATTTGAAAACCATCAATCTACGAGTGATTGTTGATCAATAAACTATGGAACCTCTCACTGTTTATACATATGATATTTAACAGATTGTCTGCTAGAGATAGTTCTAGTTATCTTGACCATATACTTGGATTCTCCTTAATTAATTTGCCTCAGTAAAATATATCCATTTCTGACAATCTGTGTAGTATTCGGCTGAAGTAAACCTCGTTAGCATTTCCATGTATCGTAACTCACTGACTCCCTGCTCCGGTTTGGGCACCCAGGCAGTATCACAGCTCTCACACAAATCAGAAGAGATTTGTGTGGCGCATATGTATTTGGTGCCCCCTTGTACCAATATCTATGTGTTCAAATAAATAAATAAAACTTAATGACTCACTGTCATTATCTTTTACTGAAAATTAACACAGAATTCGTACAGTTGAATGAGGCTTTTTCGGAACCTAAACCCAAACATCTTTATGCTTCAGTCTATCCTTACTTTCACTTCATTGTGTATTTATAATTAACTAAGTCTTTATTGTCGTACGGAATTTACTGTCCGAACTGGTTGTCCTGCACAGTATTAGAAACCAAGAATCTTAATACGTTCAATTCTTACCTGGTATCTCGTAATTAAAACTGACAGTTTAAACTAGCGGGTCACAAAAAACAATCTTAGGCCTAAGATATGTAATTCAGCGAAACCTTCCATTTGATTGCAGGTTGTTACTAATGTTCAGTATCACTAAATCTAGTCATATTTCGTCAAGTTTCTTTAGTCATCACACATGTGCTCTTTAACTGTACAAATTAGTTAAATAGTCAAAAGTATTTTGAGTGTAAGTCTAAAATGTAATCGCAGTAGTGCCAAGATTTCATTCATTAGTTTTCCAACGCAACACGAGAATCTTGTGCTACTACTCTAAAATGTTAAATCGTTTCGCAACATCTAATTATAGTTCAAAGCTAACCATTTGTGACAAGTCAATTCGAATTTGTAACTGTAAACTCAAAAGTAGAGACAACTATGAGTGCTCCCTCGATGCAGTATTTGGTTTCCAATACCGTAACAGCCAAGATCAATCCTTATAGACTATAGCAGTTATTTATCAAGACCCTAACGTCTTAGACAAAAGCTAAAGCAGCTAATTAGGATTCGAAGGCGAAGTCAAACAGTCAGTCAGTAACAACGTAGAACTTCGTACGTACGTACATCTGTTCGAGTTGCCACACCACATTAGCACAGAGATGCAGTGGTCTATTGAAATCCTGTAGTGCTAGGTGTAGTAAAATTATAAGCTGTTATCAGAAAAAATAGGGTTTGAAGATGTTATTCAAGGAGTATAATCCAGTGAAATAGATTTGGAAAGAGAAAAAAGAAAGGGATATGAAGAATTCAGAAGATTAGAATTTGGGAGAACACAAAGAGTGGATGCACCTGCGCCATTGCAAACGATTTTGAGTCATGTCATTCAGGGTCTCTAACCATCGGTTGCTATCATCTCGCGGTCATCAACCAGGTAGTCTACACCTACCAATATGACCTAGTCCACTTGTCAGTGACTTCATGAACTTGTGCCATGTTTTGGTCTGGCCGCCCCTAGCTTTCTTCCAACCTACTTCTATACCACTGAACATCGCATAACGAGGCAGTCGGTCGTTGGGCATACGCAACACGTGTCCCAGCCACCTCAACTGATGAAGTTTCACCACTTCATCAATCGATTTGCCATCCTTACTTAGTACCCGTTTCCTAACAACTGCATTACTTACTCGATGGTCCCAGGATATACGAGCAATATTTCGAAGACACCTATGATCAAATACTAGTAACCTACGGACATCCTCTACTCTTACCGGCCATGTTTCACTGCCATAAAGTAGGGCGGAACGAACTGCTGCACAGTAAACACTTCCTTTAGTTGATAGACGGATATCTCGCCTACGCCATAAATGACACATGTTGGCAAAAGCTAGTCGAGCCTTCTGTATCCGTGCTGAGATTTCGTCACATACCAGACCACAAGGGCTGATGAGACTTCTTAGATAAGTGAAGCGATCGACGCGCTCAATTACATCACTTTCTATCATTAGTTCGGGTGTCGATGCAACCCAATCCTGAAGCAACATTTTGCATTTCGAGGGAGAGAATCGCATCCCGAACATGCTTGCATTGTTGCTTAGAGTGGCCGGAAGACTCTGCATTTTGTCAGCGTCTTCATCAAATCGGACTATGCATATTCTATGTCAATAAGTGAACCTCCCGGTAGAAGTTCAACCCCTGGAAATCTAGACGAGGAAAGTGTTACCTCCAAAAGTACGTCGACGACAATGTTGAACAAGAATGGAGAGAGTGGACAGCCCTGACGAACACCACTTTTGGTAATCAATTCTGATGACAGTTCGCCATAAGCTCTCACTCTACCAGTTGTGTTCGAGTAGAGAGCCTTTACAAGGTTAATGTACTTCTTTCAGTGACAAACACTGCCATAGAACCTTACGATCAACAGAGTCGAATGCCGCCTTAAGGTCGAGAAATACTACGATTGTGGGGCGTCTGAATGTGTGTCTGTGTTCTAGAACCTGACGTAGTGTGAATATCTGGTCCATACCCGACCGTTGTTGCTACCTTGACGTGGTGGTCGGGCTTGCCTATCGTGATGAAGCAACCGAGCTATACTGGCTGGAACAACCGTTCCTCAAGGTCCTACTATGTTAGATAAGTCGATTGAAGAGTGGTAAGACTAAAAGCAACAAACCTAAGGTCGTGAGAAGGGTTAGTCGGGGAGATAAGAATGGTATTAAGAGGTGTAGGAAGGATTTGAGTGTGACCAACTTGATGTCGTGTGCTATTACTGGTATGAGGGCTGATGTCACTTCCCGGCTCCCTACACCGTGGAAGGGTATTTCTTGAGGAACATGAAAAGGAAGTTGGATTAATGTTGACCGAAGTCACGCAGCTAAACGTACTGATGTGTAGTGGTATTAAGATTATTCCGGAGAATTACCGTCACTTTGAATAAAACGCAAGAAGTAATTAAAACGGACTTTTAAAACAGTTTACCTCCTTAATCTAAACATTTTTGGTACCGATGGTAAGACTTCAAAAATGAAGAACTAAAACAACATATAAAAGAGTCGTACGTGACTGGCCACATCTAGTTGTCCCTTGGGTTCCGGTGTTACACTTCCAGGTCGATAAGATTCCCCGAATTTTTGAACGAGATATCATTCCAATGTAAACGACTAGCAAGTACCTACCTTACACACCAGTAGCACTTAATTTTATCTTGTCTGCTATAAAACCTGGTCCCTCAACAATTTTTCTATCTTAAAAATATATTTCAGGAGGTACTACCTAAGAATTTAATTGATTATAAATGGGATTTTTAATTCGACATAAATTGGGATAATCTTTAGTCAGTTATATAAACAATGGTGACGTTCTTAATAACACATAGAATAATAATGGTTATGGTGCTTCAGTAACGTCTTACGAACTCATTTCAGTGGTTTCCAGACACAACAATAATCGAAGGAAACACAAATGCACAGATGACTAAGTTTGTTTTCTTAAACGTCGTTAATGAAAGTTAATAAAGTGAGATTGAGCCGTTTTTTATTCATCAAACGGGCGTAGAATAAAAATCGTCTCTCTGGAGCTATCCGTACGAAGGACGGATTATCAATCTACTTCCAAACAAAGAGAAATATTTCAATCGTCTTTTTGTTATTTTCCAAATACCAACAAAAAGCCCAATTGGAACATTAGTAATTTCTTCTTACTTCCAGAAAATCTCTTAATGTGATGGCACATTTTTCTTAGAGAGATTGGTTGATATTAGATAATCGTGGGGCAAGTTAACGGCCCTCATTGTTCTACTTTATGAAAAGAACGGAAATCCTTTTTAGATCGCTACAAAGAAAAGTCACATCATGTGTAAACTATTAGCTCCCGTATTCATTCGATTTCTAGTCAAGACTCAGAAATCCTGAAATAGCAAAGTACGTTGTAGACCTGACTGCAGATGTATGAATCAAATATTTTCTGGTGTTGTTACACAGACTTTCTTCACTACAAGTAACTAATCGTATTAATCTGTCAGAAGACGGTATTTAATCAATGGTTCTTGCGACGAAAGTTAATTAAAGAACCAAAACAGAAGTGCGTCAATTTCCTGAAGTATCTACTCGATCACTTAATTAGGTCAACACACTGATTTTCCAAACCAAATAAGGTTTCTAAGCTTTCTGTTATTGTTATGATTTTATTTTCTTGGTATTCATCTTCCTATTAGTGCAACAAATTTGACCAATAAGTATATGCTAGGTCTTACGCTATATATGATTGACTAGCTACTATACAGCTCTTGAGAGACTCAGCTGTGATAAATTAGTGGCTAGCCTAACCTCTACAGACACGGAAACTTCTATTGATTTTCACTGCGTTGCTGTGCATATAGCTCAAGTAATTTCTTGAGTGATATTACGTACTGCAATCCTCCACAACTCAAATCTGCTAACATAATAATCTATGTTCAAAGCAGGAAAAAAACAATCTCATTCCCACAGGTTTTGTTCACTTTTTTTTATCTTCCTTTAAATATTGAGGTTTAGTACCAGCTCTTTTGCTTCTCGATATCACTCGTTGTTTATGAGCTCTGTTCTCGTTTAGTGTTTACTACATGGCAAAAAGGTCCAACTGCTGTGTTTATTGTTAAAGTATCTGCACCAGAATGAAAAAATGATCGAAATATCGAGAATGCTAACTAAATGTTCGTTGACTTCGTTTTATATTAAAACGAACACTGAAAACTATCTTTAAAATTATGTCCGTAAGTCCAATATTTATTTCACTAAACTTGCCTCGCTATCCGCCAGTAGAATATAATAAATAGAGCTCTTCCGCCGGTAACAGCCTTAACTAGGCGAAAATTCATTAAGGGTCTCCATTTGAATATTTAACGACAGCCGCACAAATCTAATGTTTCATTTAGATTTCATTCTTTAAGAATTTACTTGGCTCTCGCTATATTTCTCTAAACAAATCTCTTATATAAGTACGTTTGTATGTACGTCATTGTACATAATGTTTGCTCAAAAATGGTACTACTTATCCAGTTTTCAAAAGATTGCAAGTAGATCTTAAATATTTTTTAACACAATAATATTGTAGTTTTCTCGCCTTTTAGATTATTATCCCACGAAATTGAGAACATCTTCGTAACTCTCGCGATAAAAACAATCATTTGCATTATCTTTGGAATTACAACTATGATAATACGATTACAAAGACATACTGATCGAAGTGAAACCCGGGAATCGCAAGGATTATTCACCATTATTCGTTTGTTATATCAGTTGATAACGGGACGATACATATGTGCGTACAAAGGTCGAGGCTCAAAATCCAGCTCATCAGTGTTTCTCAAAAATGTAAAATGAAAAGTTCATTTCAAAACGCTTGTCTACAAACAAAGTCTTTCCACTGTGCAACCTACAATTAAGAAAATGATTATTCTAGCGTTATTTATACGTATTTTGAAAACAGAAAATGTTTCAAATGCTAGTTTCTTTAATAAAATAAATTTCATGTAATCCAAAGGTTTAATTAACTGCTTAAATGTATTTCATCTGGCATAAATTTAGCACAACACCCTCAGTCATGATCAAGTGAATTTATCACCAGTTTGTTAGTCAGTTGCACCGATCAGTTGGTTTATTTGAATGTCAATGGGATATAATCGCAAAACACTGGAGAAATAGGTGAATAATTATAAAGACCTAGGAACATGTTCATGAAGAACCAAGTTTTATGTGAAATCTGTTTACGGACAACAAAAATGCCAGGAAAATATTCTCTAAATTAAACCATTTTTTAAATTGAACGACTTAAATTTATTATTATACATAGCAGCCTTCATTATATCTTGATGTCTTATAACGACTCATATTGATTCCAAAGATATCAAGTTTCGGTATGTATTCATTTGGATATAACAGTGAGTGAAGCGAATCCAAATTAGGAGCGTGATTGGCAATTCTATAAATGTATGTGATGATCAAATTAAAAATTCCTAGTTTTATTTGGAGGATCTTATCTTTAGCCTTGGAGTTCCAATATTTGACGAACACTAAAAGAGTCCCGGTCTGATAGACGGAATTGTCAAAATATAGTGGTCAGTTTTACCGTTACACAGGTAATGTTTTGCCTCGAAACCGAAGTTCACGGCTACCAGCATAAGAAAGCTTTCGGCTGACCAGATACTTTCAAAACACATGCTCTAAATACTTTTAAACGATTAATTGCTCGCTCGTTCGAATTGTATAACGCCAATTTACACGTAAGCTAGCTTATCTCTGTGAGGATCGTGTTTTTCGGATATGATACAATACCATAATCGAAATATCCAACGAAACATATTTGCCGCAGTACCTACTACCATTTAGTTAACGACGTCAAGTATAAGAATAATAAAAATGTCTTACAGGAACTGATAGATAGTGAGATATTTCTTTCTTCTTTTGATGATTGCCAGGTATTTGAGACATGAGTTCCTTCAAAGCGTTGATATTTCGCTTTTCCAAGCAGAGCTGAAATAAAAGACATTATTCAGATGCTTTGAGAACTGGTACGTTTTGGAATATGTCAAACTGAATTTCACGGTGCAACAACAGTGTAATTAAGGTTCATTTGCTCTATCTGGATATGTGCGTTGTGTACTTTATCATAATCGTGCGGTAATTTACTGGACTAGGAATAACATTATGGCTGATATATCAATTCTTTGCTACATTTGTTAACTTGATGATCAGAAGTTATTATTCTGAGCGCGTATACTTAACTATAACGACAAACTAGAATGTCGAAATGAAAAGAAAACAACTGAAGAATTCGTGATTAATGTAACAGACGACTGTCAGTTTACGTGTTTCTACACCGGCGAGTGACTCACAGTTAGCTAATCTCCCGGATAGACATAACTTACAAATTTTCTTGAGGTGAACTTACATTTAGGATGTAATTGTAGTGTGTTCTACTTATGTCGACAGATATGAGTAGTATATGTCACCAACCGAAAGTGGGATAGCTGGCGGCAGAGGGTTGAGAAGATCTGAAAGAGGACGAGAGTGATTGTTATGGAAATGAAGGAATAATGAAGTCTGAGACGATTGATGGACATTTTGCAAATGAGGTACTTTCTGTATGGTTCTCAGACTTTAATAAGATATTCTGTAATTTTGGATTCAAACACATTTGGTTGCTCCCACTTGCATTCTCGTTCACTACATTTCTACCTGTTAAGAATAAGAGTACTATAGTGCTTGATACGTGCCCTTTTCAACATATTGTACTGCAGGCTACAATTGTGATTCCATTTAATTCCGCTTTTTGTGTTTTTAAGCACAGAAATTTAAATGCACTGGAGACCTTTCTAAATCTTCCACCAAATTGCTGTTTCACTAATGGGAAGTAAACCTCCATTTTTGGAAGTACTAGAGGCTATGATGGGACTATATGATGGAACCCTATATAATGAATGTAAATGTAATTAACGTTGAATAATGTGTAGCCATAAGGGTTGTTCGTTATAAATTGTTACAAACAATTTAACTTACTTTAACGGCTTCATCGACCATATTTAACCGAATAACAATCTGTATAAATTCATCATCATTTAGATATTTCAAGTAACTTTCAATAATCTAAAAAAGAGAAACACTAAATGAAAATTCAGATCATGAAATAACTTAACAGTAATACCGTTGTAAGAGATTAACCCTTAATTCATTGACTCAACAAATCTATAATTGTCTTAAATGTATCACTCAGTTAATTTCACAAACATCATAGAGAATATCATTATGTGTTCTAAGAATGGGAACATAATTTCCTCAGAACGAATTTATTTGGAGATCAGATGTAGAACAGTTTTTTCATAGACATGTGGATATAACCAATATATTGACAACACCATACTACGACACTGCCTTTTCACTATTCTATCGAAACTAAACTAAATATTCCATAAATGATCACTCCAGTTGAGGTAATTGAATAAAAATTAAAACCACCTAGATCAAGACTACATTTGAGTACCAACAGCTGTCAGTTTCCAAAACTGAGCAAAAGCAGATTAGTAATGGGCAACCAGTTTCACTGAGTGTAACAAGAAGAAAACGAAACAACTAGATCCAAGAGATGTAGTCAGTGTGGCAGGAAGTGTATGTGAACACGATACACTTTAGATATGTACCTTTAATGGCTTGCAAGTTCAAAGGTTTCTTCATTTATATTCAGAGGGTTTATACCTAAATGCAAGGAAAGAAACCGCATATCAGCAACTTGTAACTGAGATGAAGATAGGAGATGACTTTTCGAAATATAGGGAATTATTTTAGCCAGGTAGTTGGTGGGTCTTTGACCAAGTTAGGAACCTTAGATAGTATCTTTAGAGCAGTGTAATCGGTTGTATGCTACAGCAACTGCAATATTAGTTCTTTCTACTTTATCGAGTCAGCTGGTAAGAACTCCACTAGGCGCCAGATTGGGGGTGTTACTAGTTAAGGAGCTGATTGCATTATCAGGAAATCTATCGAAAGATATTTTATTCTTATCCAAGAAATAGGCTATAATAAAAAATCATGATACCTAGAATTCAATCTACTGCCATATCTAATGTAACATATTGGAATCTTGCTGATAGACTTTATTTGAAACGTACTTTGGTCGGCACTGTAAATTGCTGTCTAAATATTTACTGAAGTTAAAAGTAGAAATAATCTGTTTCCTATAGGTTCAGAAATCCCAAGACGCGTGGCCTGAAATATGGTCGGATTTCTCTCTCAACGGATGGTGACTTAAAAACAATGATCTTGTTTTTATTGGCATCACTGTAGCCAATTCTGTAAAAACAGGAATGTGCGAATTGCGTATGTAAACAGTACCGCTCCGACCTCTTACTGTGTATGTGACCTATAAGCTTTAGAAACTTGTGCTATACTATTAATCTGTTATTATTACCCACAAAAATACTACAGATTAACATTGTGCAGATTCACAGTTTTGAGAAACTCCCGAGGAAGGATTTCTTCACCAAATCTCATCTTAGAATTCGACAACCTCTAAGAACTAGACACTAAATTCATTACCATCTACTAACCGACTTTTTTTTACTTAGTCTGAAAAGAATCAAGTTATCAGATAGCTAGCTCATTGGTAAGGTCTCTGAATGGGGTGGAACTCTCAGTTAAATAAAGTTTACAGATGAGTGTTAACAAACAGTAAACCCATGTTCATAGTCCTTGGTTGATCATATCTAAACTCAAAAGCAAATAATATCTTCAAGATGGTAGGTTTTAGTAATCACAGATAAAACAAAAAATGTTTGAAGATGACGTTCAATCAGTATTTTTTCGACAATTTTATTTTAAAAAGCCGTATTTAAACGAGAAAACTAATGAACAAGTTTTATATATCAGTGTGCATTAACATACTGAATGGAAATGATGGAGTTCATTTCACAATAAAAATTAAAATAAATAACCATTAGAAAAAGGGATAATAAGACCGACTAGATATGATAGAATACATGAGAGATTAAAGGTCAAGGACACGATCACAAAATGTGAGATTCCGGTATGATTCCCCAAATAGTTAAATAGTGCCCCCCCTGACAGTTAGTTGTTTGAGGTAAAGAGAACAAGATTGATTTGTGTTACATAGTTTTAAGTGACAGACCATTAGATAACAGATTTGAACAGGATACTAACATCAACCTGGGGCTATTTACAAAAAACAGACATCTCTGAGTGTGGTGATATTCCTAATTAGTTATAAAGATTTCGCAATACATTAACTGAGCCGTGTTCAGTAAACTAGTTCGCAAATGAGTGAAAATGTAAGTCTTTCAATTCGTCAATGCTATGATATACCTTTTTAAGGAATATATTTATGATCTACCAGGTTTAAAATAGGGGATACAACCACAACAATATAACTGTAAAGTTCCAAATCAACTACTTACAACCTTGATATAGAAACAACCCAAGATTAATAGAAGCCCAGTAACAATTAGGTCTTATATGTACCATAACAAAGCGTCATTTCAAGTAGGTAAACATCAAACCTAGAGTTACAACAATTTATTTCTGATGAAAAATAAATAGTCTCCTCAACGCAGATGGAATTAAAAATGCATCTCAAAACGGATGTCAGTTGTACTGTTCTTTTTATCTACTTACTCTAAAATAGTACTAAAATATATGACAATTCATTTGTAGTTTTGGGTCATTTAAATGTTCTTTATTTTCTTTGCAGAATTACATGTTGTAGAACAAGTGAAATTATGAAATAATAACTGCAAAGTGACTTACATTGTTTGGGACACCTAATGAATTGAGATGAAGGATAAAACGGTCAGTTGGGATGGTAACCTCCATACGACGCGACAAAGATTTCTTTAGAAATTATAGTCTATTTATGTAACCAGTCAGTTTACCTTTTTTAACATGATAAATTCCAGATCGTCCCAGTTTCGTGACTGAACAAGGGGCTCTATCAACAACCATCTAAACTGTTCATCCGATATCTGAAATATAAGGATATTAATTATTAGTAATATATAACAAGAATTATTTCCACACGATGAGAGAAAACAAAAAACCTATGACGCATGACAAAAATAATTTGAATGTGGACGTAGAAAACAAGTAATGTAAGGATCAGAAGACAATTCCGATAGCCAGAACACACTATTCAAAGAAATCCAAACATCTTTATCTTGGTGTGAACAACTGATATAAGAGTCTAACTAACTATTAGTTATTTCAGAGCATACCAGCGTCAGCATGAAACGTCTACGTGAATTATAGGCATCGAATAGTGGAGAAATTGACAGAGCATCTACTCAACATATTTACCATACAGCATTCAAAGGAGAATACTAGATTGAGGGTAAGTGGGAGGCTATTCACCATTTGGCTTGTTATATGTAAAAGAACATGAGAACTGGAAAAGAAGTTATCGGTTTAGTTTGCTACACTTTAAATTAACACAGAAAGCGAGATTCAATAAAGAATATATATCAAGGTCAACAATAGTGGGAAATCAAAGTAACGGAACTAATTAAAGGCATAATATCCCAAAATATATATAATTCAGAGCAAGATAAAGAGCGTACCTAGATCGCTGACTGATTTTAGGCTATGCCCTATAATTTATGTAATTGTTTCGTCGTGGATCCCGACTGAGGAACCTTCGTCTTAGCATACAGTTCAAATGGTTTTCAAGAGAATGAATCCAGAAAGTGGGTAATTCTGAAACCACTTCAAGTAATCACTTCACACAATCAACAACTGCTAACTTGATTGTGGTCGTAAGTCTGAGTTCAGAGATCTTAGTAAGCTGATCCATTATTGTATATGCCAACCAGTGATAAGCATACGACAAACTCTAATGAACGTCGAGTAGCATGGTTGTATCTAAGAATAAATATAGTGTTATCAAGTACACCTATATTCTTGAATTCTGATATAAGTTCCAGGTTTCATTGATCGACATAAGGTCAGACCTAGAATCCGCCTGGTTCTTATCGTGTTTGATACCCTTGAGCACTAGTTGAAAGGCAGATGAACATAGTAACTGAAATCTTGGGGACAATATCGGTCAAACTGGCTCCCGGATGGTTATTTCAGACCAATTTTTCCTACACTACAAATTAAAGGGTAAGCGACTGAATATTTTTACACAGAACTATGTCTGATCCAAAACCCTCCTAATTTAGCTCAGATAATATTTTTGTCTTTAAACATGAGGTCGATACGTTAGGATATGCTTCTTTCCCTAAATGATGAGGATGGATTGATAGAAAGATTAAGACAACATTTAGGAGAACTCTGAATATACATTAGCAAACGAAATGAAACCGTGTATGTGATTGACGTTCCTCAGTTCATTACACTGTGATGAACTTTAGGACAACAACTGTGTTGGTGATCTTATTGATTTAGAGTGTTACGGTTTAACCATAACTGTTATCTTGACATGACGGTAAAATTTGCTAAATATGATAACCAATCATGTTACATTTACTGAGACGTTTGTCTCTTATTCTTTAGCCATGCAAATTATTTAGAGGAAGTTAAAAGCCAAATCATTTTTGAGTTTCTCAAAATCCATAAAACCAGGGGTTTTGGTGGAGGACAGTCCTTTAAATAAATAAAACACTGCTCTACGGAGTCTCACATCCTGGTGATGGCGTTTTTACTATATGATATCAGTAGTTAGTTAGTTTAAATCCGATAAGCCGGTTTTACAATAATTGAACATAGTACTGATATCATGCAGTAAAAACGCCATTACCAGGACGTGAGACTCCGTAGAGCAGTGTTTTATTTATTTAAAGGACTGTCCTCCACCAAAACCCCTGGTTTTATGGATTTTGAGAAACTCAAAAATGATTTGGCTTTTAACTTCCTCTAAATAATTTGCATGGCTAAAGAATAAGAGACAAACATCTCAGTAAATGTAACATGATTGGTTATCATATTTAGCAAATTTTACCGTCATGTCAAGATAACAGTTATGGTTAGACCGTAATACTTGAGTGACTGCTTATGAGATATTTAAGCCTATATTTATTCTTGTTTACATCATCCGACTAGTATACACCTGTAAGTTTTTTCTAACCAAGAGATAATATGCCGACTGAACATAATGACTGGTTAGAACATTCCATATAAAAATTACGAAAACCAAATCTCATACATATGTATAAAGTAGCTTAATATTATTAAGAGCAAAAAGTAACTACTTCAAATCAAATTTTAAAAACCACGTGCTTTGAACTTTTTCCCAAGAGTTTCAGCCCGACTATTGGTCTTAATGCTTTGATCCATCCTCGCCAATGCACCAAGAGTTTCGCATAATGGCTGCATCAACAAACTCTCAGGAAGTGTAGTAGCGTTTTTCCGAGCGTTTGTACGTATAAGTTCACTGTAATATGAACTCCATTCTCTTTCCTAATATAAACAAATTACACTAATTATCGAGTGAACAGAAATAAATACATAGCTGTTCTGATAATCCAAGATAACAGCCAATTCAGAAGAGATTTCAACAATATTTTTAACAGCAAGATTTGAGGCTACTTCAGATCTAAGCGAAGTTAGTAAAAAAAACTATATTTTAAAATACTCTGCAATCTGCATTAAATGTTTATTAACTTCGTCTACATGACCCGACGATAAATTCATCAACTTTTGCATCAACTGACTATAGCTAGAAATCTTTTGTAAATAAGTTGAGATACAAGGTTAGCTTACTTCACTTTCTCTGATAAAACCTAGTATTCTGAACAAATGAAGTTATTTATACCCAAATTAACTCACTTCATATATTTCTTTAAGTCTACTAACTGTCCAGTATTTCTAAGGAAGTTAAGAAAATGAAACGCGGCTACGGGGTTTTTTAGCAAAATATTTTCAAAAGTGCTTTCTGATAATGAATTCCTAAGTTCATTAACAATCTGTAAGAAGTGATAATTTGAAATAGATAGATTTCGAAAGCGGATGTTAACCTTTGTAATTAAATTTCCATCAAAAGTGTTTGTAGTCAAATTTAAAATAACTGATTTAGAAGATTGTGAAACAAAAGTACTCAATGGCCATGTACTCATTCCCCCAACAACAAAATCATCAAGAGCTATTGTAATTGCTTTCAACCAGCATGCCTGTTACAATAAAGATCAAAATTTAAAGAACTGTTGTATTGTATTTGAACCTCTGAACAGAACGTAGCATCTTTTTCATAGTAAATCTCATTACCGATTAAGTTATGGCATATTGTACAAAATTGATTGTTAAAGTCTGTTAGGTGAAATTTAGATTATCACAGTGATACTAATTGAGATTCATACCTATTGTTATTGATTCATCACTAAATGTTTCACCAAAGCTATCACCGAGAATATGAGAGTACGCTAAACAAAGTATGATGGTAGAATTTAGTGATAAACTACTTGAAGTATTATCTGCTTCCTCTAAATCAAATTGAAATCCTTTGACAGCACTCTCCTCCCATATATCATCCGACATTCTATTTAGAGAAAATTAAAAAAATCAACCAAAAGGACTTGATCTGTTTTTGAGACACACTGACAAAATATCAAGATAAAGTCAACAACTTACATACAACATCAAAATTAAACGTCGACTGTTAGAATGCTAAATATATTAGTGATTGGGATTAGTATTGTGAACAATGGAACTTGTTTACACTGGAAAGTTGGAAAGAAATCAAAGTGATAAACAGCTTTTGTAGCAAAGCGTTATACTTCTAAATGACGTAATTAATAGTTGGACGACAAAGATAACGATACATCAGTCAGTCACCTATGACGTAGAAAGCACATATATGCATCAGACCAAGTTGCCATGCCTAATTAGCACAACAAGATGAACACCAAAATCATTGTAGTTACTTCAATTGTAGCAATATTTAAAAGAAAAATTGTGCATAAGGATATAGTACAGGAAAAAAACAGTTCTCCAAAAAAAGATATAAAACAATTTTAACTTCATGGTTTAAAGGAAAAGCAAGAGTATATACACCGACGCCATTGTGATATATTTTGAGTTATCTCACCCACAGACTTCAATCAATGGTTACAATAGTTACGCGGACCCCCACCAACAACGTATTGATTACACAAAATAAATTGGACTAAACAGAAGGGAGCAGTTATAGGTACAAGATTAGTTGGAAAAAAAGGAATATCACTCGTGCACCCAATACGTTCAGATTGCATATATCCAGCGAGGGAAATGAAACAAATCTGTATAAACCGGATGAAGAATAAGTTGTTTACAAACTACGTTGTTAAGAATTAGATACACTATCTCAAGCATTTTACCAACGTTGAACCGGTTGTTGATGACAATTGATCATGGCGCTACAAACAACAACTTCCGACAGAAATATTTCACCAGAAATACAACTAACTTAGAAAAAAATAAAGACACACACCCGTACTCAGAATCATAAAAAACCCTGTTAGTTGTTAATAGTGTCCAATTTACTGTCCTAAAACTTCGGCGTTCTCTAAACAGTTGGGCATTTAGTTACAGTACAATAAAACCAGACTAGACTACACTGTACACAAATATTTAGAAATCGATGATACCAGGTAGGACTAAGGCAAAAAATGGATGTAGGAGTCATTGATTCTTTATACTAATTTCAAACGTTGAGAATATTCCCTCCTTTAAAGCGAATTTCTGTAATAATTCTGTAAAACTCAGGTTGGAAAATTTGATTACATGACAGAATACAAACAAAAGACTGTCTTGACTGCTGATTATTAAATCCCAATAAACTAGAGTATCAGACATGCGAATGACTAATGTATTATCTAGATGTAATCATCCTGTTTCGGTTTGGGCACCCGAGCAGTATCACAGCCCACACACAAATCAAGTGACTTGTGTGGCGCATATGTATTCGGTGCCCCTTTGTACTGATATTTGTCCCAATAATAATAATAATAATAATAATAATAATAATAATAATATGTAACCATGAAGCATTCAATATGAATTCACTTAGTTGAAAAAACACGGATCACATACTAAAACCTGAAAGTGTTTCGAGGATATATGCTTAAATATATGAAAGTGCGCCTCAAAAGTGCCGCCGAACAGGATATCTTTCAGACTCATGACGAGTCTTTTTTCTTTATGCACCTTTTGGAAGTTATTTCAATATTTAACGGTGAAGGTGCCACAAGGTAGTGTACTTCCAGACAACATCGGAGTGTGACCTAATAGTATTATTTTTATCTTTCCCGAAATCCCAGATGGAGATAACCCTCTTCGGTATTTCGGACTGCAAAGAACGACCCATATCGCTTATTACAAAAGCCAATGCCAAAACAAGAACGCCGACGTCTGACTTACAGCTTATAGTTTTAAACCGGTCCAAGGTCATCAGTCCGGCGTCACCTTGATTGACTATGACCTCAAATGGTTCAAATGGTTGTCGACGGAATAAAAGAAGCTTTCGCTTAATGGCATTCCGTATCTAATAGCAGTGGATCGCCAATACCTCTAGGCAGGAATCTAGGTATATTAGCGATAATAGAGGAAAAGGGAATTGGTAAATCATAGTAAGATATTATCTTTAGTCCGTAAGAATAGGTCAAGTTGCCTCTTAAATGACTCCTGGTAAGTCGCTTGGACTAGCTCATCCGGCAGCGAATTCCAGAATTCGACAACTCTTAGGGAGTAGTAGTTGTGTCTTTAGTTTCTGGGTGTTACTCCTTAGGTTTGCGTTAGAGCTAAACTTAAGGGGATGTGCAGAAGTGTTAAGGATATTGTAAGCCACTAGAAGGTCGCCTCTAAGACCCCTATACTCTAGTGGGCAAAGGTTTAGTGACTGGAGACGCTCTTCATAAGGCTTGAATTTGGGTCCCTGAACTGATTTCGTGGCTCTCCGTTGGATGCGCTCCAGAGTGTCCTTATCCTTTTGGAGTGAAGGAGGAAATACTATATTTCCATACTCTAAATGGGGACGAATAAAACTGTTGAAGATCATGTGGAAAGTTCCTCTGTCAAACTAGCCAAAAATGCCCTTCAATGTTACCAATGCGAGGTTTTCTCGAAAGGCATTTTGTCACAGTTAGCGTAAGATTTCAAATCATGGGGTACCAACACTCCTAAATCTTTTTCAACTTGAGATACTTCTAGAGAGGAGTTTCCTAAGTTGTAACTGTAGTCTGCAACATGTCTCAGATGGGCTACTTTACACTTTGAAGTGTTAAAGGTAAGTCCGTTATCGTCTGCCCATCTTTGAAGTCTAGTCACATCCTCCTGACGTGCCATTATATCCTTTTGGTTGCGTATCTCTCTCTCCAAAGTTTCACACCATCAGCAAAAAGTGATTAGTCAGACGATACTTGTTGTGGAAGATCACTTATAAAAGTAAAAAAAGAAGAGGTCCTAGTACTCAACCCTGGGGGACCCCACTAAGACATTCCATAGCCTGAGAGAAAGCCAAGTTCACCCTGACCTTTAAATGTCGATTTTTTAGATATGAAATGAACCAGCTAATTAGAGGTGATTTCATACCCAATCGTCTGAGTTCATTGGAAAGACATATATGGTTGATTCTATCAAAAGCTTTTGAGAAGTAATGTTAAATAATGTCGACTTTCCCCCTGCGATTTTGTATTGTTGGTCCAGCGAAATGTCACTAAGCACTAGCCATATCATCCGGCAATTAGATCATTGAAAATGTAACAAGTCATCGCCTCTCGTCAAGGCCAAGGACAGCCAACGCGCATCAGTTAATCGTATGCAGTGTACTTGCGGGCACGGGCATTGGGGTAAGTCAGAGGTTTTCGCGTACATGTCGCACATTGTCGTGGATCGTTTATGTCGTTATTTATCAGCTATTAACAGCGTTTTTTCCTTCCCACGTCAATTTCCTTAATGTTTGTGCTTGTTACATAGGTTTTATTCCAGTTTATTAGTAGTTTGACGTATTTGCTGCTCACCACCTAAGTGAAACTTTGGTAAGCCTAATATTATTTGTAACAATGCAAACTTAAGCAAGTAAAATTCGCCATTTTTCAAGTTAAAAAATAGATCACAAAATTGAGTTTTCATGAAAATAATGAGCTGTGAAACAATTAACATTTCATTCACATCATAAACTTGGTACAAACAAATGTCATAAGACTGTGAAGCTCCCAGTTCTTGATACGACATAACCCTAGAATCAAATAACAACTATTAATGTGTTAATTCTTGAATTCCTGCTACATTACAGACTGACTCGTCCAAAGTAATTCATGCAAAATACGTGACGAAAGGTGAACGAGCAATCGAAGCTAAATCATAAATTTATAGCACTCATATCTTTCTTGTGCCACACTAATTAGTCACATTTTCCTGATAAGTCGAACGATGCCTGTATGTTGTGATCACAGTAACTACAGCAATTTGTAAATAACATTAATTTGTGATGTGTCTGTTCCAAAGATTACCAATGAATTTCTATTAACGGAATCCAAAGTCTCTGATGAATAGCACTGTTTAAAAATAAGAGAATTATAGGTACATTCTATTACCTGCTATTCGATTACTTTTTGAATTTGATACTGATAACAGAGTTTAATTGCTTGTCTCAAGACTGATTTGTTGTTTTTTCAGAATTTATTTATTTATTTGAACACATAAATATTGGTACAAGAGAGCGCCAATATATATACACCACACAAAACAATGAGAATGCGAAGAGAAAGAAAAAAGGTAAGGAACGTGAAAGAAAAGAACGATAACGAAGAGGTTGGTGTAAGGTAGTGTGGTAATAATGAGGGGACGGAAAGGTACAATCAGAAGAAATTTTTCAGTTAAGGGAGAGACAACCACTTTTTATGAAGAAAGTAAAAGAAGGTTACAGCAGGATCGCCACTGGCTTCTATTCTGAGCCATATCTGATAACGCATATAGCCACTGTGTAGCACCATCTCTCGGACCCCAAACAGGGAGTCGTGAACGACCGACAGAAGCCAATCCTTTGCAGCTTTCTTTCATCCCACGACACCATGTCATACACTGACCACCTCTCCGCTTCTTCCAACCAGTCCCAGAGTCGGCAAATAATGCACGACGTGGAATTCTCTGGGACGACATTCGGAGAACATGTCCAAGCCACCGAAGTCGGTGTTTCAAGATAGTGACACCAATTGAATTATCATCTCTGTGCCCGAACACACGATGCCGAACCTCTGCATTACTGACATGGTGTTGCCACTGAATGTCGGCAATCTTTCGGAGACAGCGATGATCGAACACAGAGAGTCGTCTAACGTCCTCAACTCGGAGAGACCTGGTTTCACAAGCATAGAGCAAAACTGCTCTCACCGATGCGTTTTAGATCCGACCTTTTACAGCCAGACTAACATCACGAAGGCGCCAAAGATGGCCCAGATTGGCATAAGACGCTCTGGCTTTCACTATACGTTAATTGATCTCATCACTCACGCCACCACCAGCACTTATGCAGCTACCCAGATACACGAACTTCTCTACTACTTCTATCTGCTCACCATCCAGGGTGAGTACAGGATTGGAATCCTGCCAGTCTTGTAGGAGTACTTTGCACTTCGAAGGTGCGAAACACATACCGTACCTACGGACATTGATTGCCAACTGATTAAGTGCGGATTGCATGCCTCGGGCATTATCGCACAGTAAGAAAATATCATCCGCATACTCATGGTCGAGATGTCTTTCTCCAGGCAACAGATCCACACCACCATTACTTACATGCATCAGAGCTGTTTCTAGAATGTCATCGATGGCAAAGGTGAAGAGGAATGGTGAGATTGGACAACCCTGTCTAACCCCACTGCTCGAATGGAACAATGGAGAAAGGTGGTTGTATGCCCTCACTCTGCCTGAGGTGTTTGAATATAGGGCCTTTAAGATGTTAATAATTTTCTCAGGCACACCCATGTTCAATAGACAATCCCAGGGAACAGTCCTGTCCAACGAATCTAAGGCAGCCCTGATGTCAAGAAACACTACGATTGTTGGCCTGTGATAAGTATGACGGTGTTCTAACATTCGGCGGAGGGTGAAGATATGATCAATACATCCTCGACCAGAACGAAAACCAGCCTGCTCCTCGCGAGTCAATCTTTCTCGGGTTTTGAACAACCTACGAAGTATGATGGAAGCCAATAGCTTGGACGCAATCGGAAGTAGACTTATCCGCCGATAGTTGTTACAGGAACGACGTGAACACTTTTTAAAGATAGGGACAACTATCGACTATGTTGCCGGAGCAGCAGGCCAGTTGAACTGCCCTTCGAAAAATTCTGTCCACCGTCCAAGACGTGGATGGATGTTAGTGATTGGCATCCCATCATCCTCGCAAATTGTTTCACTCACACCAGACTTCTTGCTGTCAGTGGCTCGGATGAGCTGGAAGAGCTTCCGGTAATTACCAGATGCAGCTGCTGTTTCCAACTCACTGGTACGCTCCGACCACCAGGTTTCTCGGTCCTTTGCCCAATTTCATTACGTAAAATCCTTCGTTTATGGTCAAACTCACGGTCACCCGGAGTAGACCGACGAGCTTCAATGAGTTGTAAGGAACCAGAAGAAACCCAGTGCTTAAAAGCGGGACGTTTCGCAAACCCACAACTGACTGTTCCCGCCATTTTCATGGCGTCATGCAATTGCAACCAATGCTCATCTATACTTTTCCGTGGAGTGGTAGCTAGCCTAGAAACTAGCTCGGTTCGATACTTACTTGCAACAGAAGTTGCAACCAACTTGCTAATATCAATCCGTTGATGGCGGTCACTTCGTTGGCCACTGAAAAGTAAGGCAAGATTGGCGCAGACTGAGGCATGGTCAGAGTCCAGATAGGTACTCCAAAAGGAGCGGCAGTCTTGTACACAACCACGCCAGCGGTAGCTGATCGCGATGTGATCAATCTGAGTCCAGGCTTGAGATGCAGAGGGAGGACGCCAGGTGGCACATCGGCGATGACTGTGCC